TCGTTTTCATTCAGCCTTTGCGCATGAATCAAACTTGGATGGCCCATTTACATCGAAACACCACTTTTTAAGGAACAGAAACCTTGCCTGAAATTTGCCCAACGGAGCAGCAGGGAAGCCACCAAAAGACCGTTCGTTCCTACGCATGAGTCTATGACATCCAGGTGCAGCCCATGAGAGGCCATCGGTGTTCAAGCTCCTCCTCTTTCCCGTAGAACGCTTGGTCTCGCCAACTGCAGCGGGCTGTGCAATGAAGGAATCAACGCAGGCCAACAAGTACAACCGGCGTCGAAGGTTGGTATGCGTGCACTTGTCTTAATGTTTCATAGGCCATGGAATTTGCCCGATGGGATGACACTTCTGCGACGGAGAGAGCTACAAACGACGTTTTTTGAATGAAAGGGCTTTGGGTGATGATGCACATTACAGACGGTCAGGTGCCCATGGACATTGAAACAAAACCGTGTACTATGGAGGAGGTAGATGCTGAAAGCCAATACAATGTAGACCAGAAGAGAGACTAAACAGGCTACATGTATATGGGCAGCCATCGATGACTCCTGGGAAGCTGTTTGCACGCTTGAACAAGACGTTGTCAAACACCGAAGTACACCACACACCACGGCAGCAATAGGGAATGCAACCCGTCCGATCGTTGTCTTCAGGTGAAATCATCGCGAAGAGACTAGCTTGCGCTGTTTTTCTTTAATTTCTTTCACGCATATCTAGCTGGGCACAGGATATGTTGGTGGGGATCTCTGACTAGCCTTAGTCGGATAGCTGCAGACAAAATACGGGGGGTTCGCTTACTCAACGCGTGCCCATTTTCAGGACTGAGCAGAGCACCAAACGGATCGCGACTCCCACATTGCGCATGACGGCCGATCAAAAGTAATGCACCTCCATCCTCACCAGCACGCCAAACATGGCGTCCGTATCGCGGCGGTCCGTCGTCGCCGGCGCCGGCCCCATCTCTTGGAAAACTCCACCGCCGCTACTGATGGCCACGCTACCGCCAGGCTCTTCTTGGCCGGGATGTTCTTCTGCTCCTCCGCTCAAAATAGCCCTGCGCGAGCCAGACTCGCCCGTAGTACAACTATCACGACCACCAGCCAAGCCGCGGGCGCGAGTTCCGCTGACGCCGACGATTCCAAGCCGCTTGAGCGTGGAAGTTTTCGTGTCGTGGTGGACTACATTGCTGCTTGTCCCGGCTGTTGTCCTCGATCGGAAGGGCGTGGACGGAATAAACCCGCGACCAGCGCTGCCAGAACGCTCCGAGAAAGAAGAACATAGATGGTCGGACGAAAGGTTGCTGTACTGGCGGTCGCGATGCCTCTGCTGCGGGGTAGCGGTATTGGCCGTTGTCGAATGAGCATCAAAGTTTCCTCCGCACGTAGTGGCGCAGCTCGCCTGGGCGCTCGCCGTGCTAACCCAGTATCCCCCCGCGCTGGCCGTGCTTGCGTTGCTTTGCATCTGCAACATCTCTGTACGGAGCGAGCGAGAGCCCCGACATGGCGTTCCATCAGACCCCCCCGCCCGGCCATGGTTCACTGTCGTCGAGACGCCTCTAAATCGTTTCCCCACGTTGTCGAAGGCGACGTCGGCACTCGAGGCGGACGATGTTGTCCACGAAACGCTCGACGGAGAGAGCATGCCAGAATCCGGGTAGCTGTCGCCTTCAGCACTGCCGTTGCGGCCTGGGTTGCTGGTGGTGCTCGTCTTCGTGCTCCCGTCGCAGCCACTCCCGTGGGTGCGTTGCCTTGATCCCAAGCAACCGGCGGAGACGAAGAAAGGGGGAACGACGGTGTGTAATATTTTTAAGAAACAAATTAGGTGGGCCTGTTCATCGCAGCTGTTATCACCCATACCACACTCAGCCTCGCTCGGATACACCTCGCCAAACATTTGCAAACCCACAGTTGGTGGGGGGGGATACGCCATTTCTCTTTGACCGCACCCCATGATCCCCCGAGTGTAACTTCGTTCGAGTATACTTCCCCGAGAAATCAAGTTCCCCGTGTTTACAAGATGCCAGGTAGATACTATAAGTACGTGTCGTTGCCGGGTGTCGAAAAGGTCTGCCATGTTGTCCACCCCGCCGATACCAAAACAGTCTTCAACGGGAAACAACTACTTATTTAGGCATGAACCCTACCCAGCCGAGGATCTTGCCGTGCAGCGCTAACACAATGCTCGACGGAGGCGGTGAAAGGAAGATATTGGGTCCCGGTCAAAAAACGGAATGTCTTGCTGTGGGCGGAACGAGCAGTATATAACCTGCGACCGAAATAAGGTGAGGAATATTGCCACACAACCCCATTGAAACATTCTGGGGTGCTATACACTATGGTGCCTGATTTTGGCGCCATTTCGACTGCATGGGCTAGATAATCGAAGGCTTCTATCATGGACAACGTGCGCGTGCAAGGACGATGATTGTTGAACGAGAGTATACTCGATGTTTTCAGACAACATTCCAGAGCAAGCGATTGGAAGGTTTCCACAAACCCTCACCGCAGTTGTGGCCAAACCACTCAGGCTCAGTGTGGCCTTTTTTACGGAAAAGAAACTCGATAACAAGCCGAATGCTTTCCACTCAACAGGGTTAGTGTCGTTGCGCTTGCCACGTGGCCGCGAAACCAATGGCCTTCAAATTATTTTCTTGGGTTCGAATTTCATCCGCACGCATTTTGGAAGCTAGTTTTATCTCATTGTATGACCTGGCTGAATGATCTTGCAGAGCATTGGCCGTCGGACCACAGTACACCGTCCTCCCTCTGTCCAGCAGGATACTGTGGGAGAAAAGCCTCCATATCTCCGGCCGAGGATTGTCGGTTGAAACCACCACTGCAACCTAGTTGTCCACCGATATATACACGCACGGGCAGCAGAGCGAGGGGAGACAATAGCGAGAGAGAGAGAGAGAGAGAGAGAGAGAGAGAGAGAGAGAGGAAAGACACATGCGCACAGGTTTTTCAATAACGTCAAGATGAGGGGGGGGGGGTGTACTCATAGTCGTGCATGCCGTAATCGTTAGACGATTGGCCTCGCATCCCTACAAGGCCGGGATGGAGAACGCCGGGTTCTCACCGGACCAGGCTCTCACATCACCAAGCGCGAAGCGCCGTGAGGTATTCGGCGAGTCGCATGAAGGGTGCCCTGCATCCTGCTAAGCGTGTTTGGCATCGTGTCCTTGCTTCCTTGCGTACGCGGATGACATCTGCGTATGACTTAGCTTATTTTCTGGCGGTTTAACTTCCAGACACAGCTGTAAGCCCTGTGTAACTGCCTCGACGGTGCTTGACCAATGTAACACAACGTGGTGCGATCATCCCCTTTGCGTGGAGTGAGGGTTCTCGACCCCGCACGACATGATCTATGCGACGACCATTCATGGTTTCCGCCAAAAAAAAAACGAAGGTAAAAAAAAAGCGGAAACCTGGTTGCCGAGCTCACGAAGTGATCGGCTTGTTTTACAATATCGCAGCCAAGCGACGAAAACCCAACCCCGATGGCACACATCGGGGGGGGGAGGGGGTGGGGGGTGGGGGGGGGGGGGG